ACCACCAGCTGTAGGGCTGAATGAAGATGGATTGCAGGCATCCAGGGGGCAGCGTAGGTAGTTACCAAGGATCCAACCAAGAAATAAGGTAGTTTAACACGCTGCACACGCTGCACAACATGTGCTTGATAATTAGCCAAAAGGTCAGTGGTTCGAATCCACCAGCGTTCCTTCAGGAGCCATTTGGACAGTCTCCTCCCATTTACAGCTTCTGAAATAGACAGAGGGTCACGTCAACTCAGGGGCAGTGGGTAGGTTAACATTCTGTAAGGAGCCTCAGTACTGTAGTGTGGAAAGTATACGGCTGCAAATGGAAGGGTTAGTAGTTCAATTTCACCCTGTCACTCCATGGGGGGAAAAAGATGGGCAGTCTCCTTTTAAAAGGTTTACAGCCTCAGAAACTCATTGGCGGGTCACTGTTAGTGGGGACTGAGTCAATGACAGTGGAGGGGGGGTTGTCAAACAGTCCAGCACTTTCCTGACCCTTGACCTTTGTTTTCTGTAGCGCCCAGGATCTGGTTCACACAGCAGGCTCTCCTGTTAGAATTTCTCATCCAGAAGAAAATGATGGTTCAGGCTTTCCTTTTGCTGGGGATATTGTTTGTTCGGTGCCACAGAGCCAGTTCTAGGTCATAAGGACTGTCAACGAAAGACAGAAAGAAACCCTGCCGTTCCCACCCCATCCTCACTCACCCCCTCTGCTGTGTTGGTGCCCATTGTCCAGCCACTGTGTCAAGTCATCTCGCTGCGGGGCTTCAAACATGTGGGCCTTCAACGACACCTGCCAGCTCTGAGTATATAGTAAAGGAAACTACAGAAGCCAGAAACTGTGTAAAGTGGAAACCTGTTGTAGACCAAGGGTAAAGTATTTTTACAATTATTAATAAAGAGATAAACAGCCAGGAAGGAGGTAGAGCAGAGAGCATAAAACAGGGGGCCAGCAGTTCTGGACTGAAGACCCCAAGCCAAGCTTCTCTGTGTCTTTATTGAAAATTATCTGGAAGTAAATCACAAAGAGAATTCAATGCAAATGAAGCCAAGCTCTTTCTATTGAAAACCTTCTGCTTGACTCAGGAGGGAGGGGTTTGCAACCGCCAGAATCTGGTAAACTCTTAAGGATTGCCTTAATGCCTCAGGGTGAACTCTATCTAGCTCAGGAAGTTAACACTCCCTCTGTGGGGGCCCCCTTGCTGTCTCCTGTCTGCAGGGAACAAACAGCTTATTTTCTATAATCTGCCCCAAGAGAAATCCTAACTTATAAATCTGTAATTCCTTCAATTCCTGAACAAGGGTTTTCATATAATATTTGGTATAAAGTTTGGCTTCCCATAGAAACCTGCCAGAGAAGGAAAACACAAATATTGTCCACCAAAACAGAAGGTGGTAAGACTGCACCTCTTAAAGGCGGACGACTTGTGAGACCTGGAAATCAAGGCAATAATTCTGCTGAGGGCTGGCTCTCCTGGGTTTCACTGTATATAATATAAGAACCACTGCCACTGAACACACACCATGGACCATCAAGAACAAACAGGTCTGTCTTAGAGAGGGTGAAACCAAGCTGCTCCTTGGAGGCTAGGATTTTCATGCTTCATGTCACACACTTTGGACATGTGGCCAGGAGGCATCAGACCTTGGAGAAGGACGTCATGCTTGGAAGGGTGGAGGGGCAGCGCAGGAGAGGGAGACCCCAGATGAGATGGATTGCCACAGAAACTGGAGTAATGGGGGTAGGTATGTTGGAGTCAATGAGATTGGGTCAGGATAGGACAGGGTTCAGAGCTGTTGTACATGGAGTCAAACACAACCTAATGGTACCAACAACAACAACAACAACTGCCACTAAGTGACTCCACTCACAGCAAGTACCAACAACAACAATAACAACTGCCACTGAGTGACTCCACTCACAGCAATCCTCGGGTTTCTAAGGATGCGAATTAACATACCTCAGTATCTCTCTCTTTTTAAATTGTGATTTCAGGAGGCTACAGATCTTAACCAGAGGGGACTGCCCCACCTTTCTCCCAAGCTGTATTTGAACCACTATTTGGGTTTGCAGCTAAACACTTAATTCATTGTGACACCAGGGCTCCTGATGGAGGGTATATAGGGCTCAAACATCACCACAATTACAGGAGTGGTGCAGGGCCTGGCAAGATTTCATTCTGGTTGTTTTGCTTAAGGTGGCTGTGAGTTGGAAATGAATCAACAGTACTTAGCAACTCTCTTTCTTTCTTTCTTTCCCATGAAGTCAGAACTGACTCAGCGGATTTTCAGAGGCTGTAAATCACAGAGGAAGACACTGTCCACCTTTCTCCAGATTCGAACCATCGGCCTTTAGGTTGGCAGTGCAACTCCTTACTCCCATGTTGTTGCTGTTGTTAGGTGCCATCAAACCTAACATTTCATAGGTGACTCTCTTATGAATATAGTGACTCAATCTTACTCATTGTTCTGGTCACCACGTCAGTCTGTCTCGTTGAAGGTCTTCCTCTACGTCCTTACCCTCCACCCTTCCCGGTATGAAGTCCTCCAGGGACTTGCCTCTCCTAGCAACATGCCCAAAGTATGTGAGATGGACCTTCATCATCCTTCCCTTTAAGGAGCACTCTGGTTGCACATTCTCCCAGACATCTTTCTTTGTTCTTTTGGGCAGCCCAGGGGATAGTCAGTGCTGTTCTCCAACACCATAACTCAAAGGCATCGATTCTTCTACTGTCCACCTTAGTCAACGCCCAGCTTTCAGATGCGTAGGAAGCAATTGCAATGGCTTGAATCAGGCCCACTTTAGTCCTCAAACTGACATCACTGCCCTGCGTTACCTGGGAGAGGTCTCTAACCACAGGCTTCCCCAGTGCAACATGTTTTGTTTTTTCTTTCTAGACTGCCGTTGCCAAGGATACTGATAGTGGGTCCTAGCAGGATAAATCACTAAGCAGGTCTATCTTCTCTCCATCTATCATGATGTTGTCTGTTGGCCCAGAGGTGAGGATTTTTGTTTTGACATAATCCATACTCACGGCTTTGGTCTTTGACCTTCCAGGTTCTCCCGGCTTTTGGCAAGCAAAGTTATGGCATCTGCATACGGGAGGTTGTGGATGAACTTTCTTTGGATTCTGATGCCACAGTCTTCTTCTCAGAGTCTAGTTTCTTGAATGGTTTGGTCTGCATACAGACTGAATAGGTATTGCAGAAATGGTCCCTGGGTGGGGTGGCCAGTTTGTGCTCTTCTGATAACCTAAAGATTGGTGGTTCAAATGTACCCAGAAGTACCTCGTAAGAAAAGCTTGGACATCTGCTTCCGACAGTTCACAGCTATGAAAAACCATGGGGTAGTTCTCTTTTGCACACAGGGGGTCACCACCTCTCAGAATTGACTCAGCAACCACTGACAACATCAACACCCCTCTAGCAGTGGAGGCTTGTGTGGTGCTGGGATGCCAAAAAGGTTCCAGAGAGCTTTCAGACTATGAGGAACTAGGAAGAAAGGCCTAGAAATCTACCTCAAAAAACCAGCCAATGAAAACCCTATGGATCACGGATATGCAACCAGTCAGGACCCCGCAGTTTCATACTGAGCTGATGGAAGTGTGACCAACCACAAGGTTATGGAGTGTTGGGGGCTTTGTTGGCCTCATGGTAAGATATTGCGCTGCAATCCCAAAGGCGACCAGTTCAAATCCACCAGCTGCTCTGCAGAAGGCAGGGCAGTCTTCTCCTGTGAGATTAACTGCCTCTGAAAACCCGCTGGAGGGTCAGCTATGGGTCCTCGATGGTACACAACAACCATCACCACAAAGGTCAGTTGTTCAAATCCACCAAAGAAGTCTTGAGGGGAAAGAAGAATTACAACTTGGGAAACCGATGGAGGGCTACTGCGGGTCAGTCAGAATTGACTCCAGGGCGCTGGGGTTTGGGTGTTTTGGGGTTTTTCAGCTCCTGCGTCTAGCCGATTTTTCTACCCACACGTACGAATAGGTCTATAAGGGCAACACTAGCTGGGGCCACGAGTCCCATGTGTTTTCAGTGTTGCAGTGGTGTGTCAGAGCCCTTCCAAGGGCTCTATTAGCGCACGCACCTTGGGGTGCTCGCCAGAGCGATGGCCAGTTCAGGGAAGGTGCTAACGTGGGCGTGCGCGCGCTTTGCGCCGCAGTGGGAAGCGGGTGGCCCCGGCCAGGCCTGGGGCGCGCCACACCCCTGTGGGGGAGGGGAGCGAGGCCGCCTGGAAGGGAGTGGACAGCCCCCTTGTCAGTCTTCCCGGCAGGGAGTGTAACCTGAGAAGGGGAAAGGTGGGCCTCAGCCCGAGAGGCGAGGAGGAACTTCCTGCCGTGCGCTCCAGCGCGTCAAGGTCAGCCTGCAGGGGTGGCCGCCGGCCTAGGGGTGGGAGACCCTCTCGGGGGCGGGCCGGAGTCTCCCAGCGCCTCGGCCATATTGAACAGCCCCGGCTGAGCCATCTTTGTTCTGGGAACCCTCTCGCCGCTTCTGACCGCCTCTTGGGTGCCCAGCACAGGAGCAAACTCTCGTGCGCCCCCAACTTGGAGCAGTTTTGCTACTTGGCGCGCAGGCTCGGAGCCTCGGGACAGACGCCCCCGCCAACTCCCGTAAGAGGCGCGGTCCTTGCTCCCCGAGCAACCATCGGGGGGAGCACGCCTGGCCTCGGACACGCAAAGTGGAGAAGTTGAGACCTTCGGGGTAGTATTGTGGGGATCCTCCTCCACATACAAACCTCAAACTAAAAGGGTTTTCGTGTCGTTGGGGCTCCTGGGCTCCCTACCCCCGATTTCACGCTGGAGATCTTAAAGACGCTCGAGAAAAGCCACGTGGGGGGCTGGTTCCCCTGGGGCTTCCTGCCGTCCCCCGACTGCCTGATCCTATGGAACGTCCCCGACGTCTGCAAGGACGTGGACCTGGACGTGCTCGTGGAAGCCCTGAAGCCCGTGGGGACCTTTAAGAAGATCGGCAAGGTGTTCCGGAAGGAGGAGGACTCCACGGTGGGGATGCTGCAGATTGGGGAGGACGTCGATTATCTGCTGATCCCCCGCGAGGTCCGCCTGGCCGGGGGCGTCTGGAGGGTCATCTCCAAGCCGGCCACCAAGGAGGCGGAATTTCGCGAGCGGCTGACCCAGTTCCTGGAGGAAGAGGGCCGCACCCTGGAGGACGTGGCCCGCATCATCGAGAAGAGCACCCCGCATCCGCCCCAGCCCCGCAAAAAACCCCAAGCGCCCCAGGTGCGCAGGAGAGTGCAGCAGATGGTGCCGCCTCCACCCCGCCTGGTCGTGGGCACGTACGACAGCAGCAACGCCAGTGACAGCGAGTTGAGTGACTTTGAGACCTCCAGGGACAGAGGCGAGCGAGGCCCGGGCCCGGCCCGGCGGGTTCGCAGGATGCCCGTCAGCTACCTGGGCAGCAAGTTCCTGGGCAGCGACGTGGAGAGCGAGGACGACGAGGACCTGGTGGAGGCGTTCCTGCGGCGGCGCGAGCGCCAGCCCAGCGCGGCCCCTGCCCGCCGCCGGGGGGCGCTGCCGGTGGAGGACCGCCCGCCGCCGCCCTCCAAGGCCGACAGGTGGCGCGAGTGCGCCGGCCAGGTGTCCTGGGCGCAGCTGAAGCGCCGGGTGAGGAGCTGGGCGCCGCGGTCCTTCCCCGGGGCGGGGGAGGCGCGGTCGACCGAGTCCCGGGCAGAGAGTGACAGGCCTGCCGGGCAGGACCGCGACGTGGACAACACGGGAGAGGGGCAAGAAGCGGGGGGCCCCGCCCGAAGATGGAAGCCCAAGATCAGCTGGGGCTCCATGAGGCTTCGCAGGAGGGAGGAGGCACCATCCATAGCTCCGGACGCAGAGGTTCCTAGTTATCAGGGGGCAGCAGACACAGGTGATCAGGAGGCAGGGATCCGAGGTGGCCAGGGAGTACGGGTTCCAGATGACCAGGGGGCAGATATCCCAGGTGCTCAGGGGGCAGAGGTTCCAGGTACCCAGGTGACAGGAGTCACAGGTAATCAGGGAGCAGGAGTCCCAGGTGACCTGGGAGCAGGGGACCCGGCTGCTCAGGTAGCAGAAGTTCCAGGTGACCAGGGGTCAGGAGTCCCCGGTGACCAGAGGGCAGAGGTCCCACGTGACCTGGGGGCAAGGGACCCGGCTGCTCAGGTAGCAGAAGTTCCAGGTGACCAGGGGACAGGAGTCCCAGGTGACCAGGGGGCAGAGGGTTCCGCTGCCCAGGGGGCAGAAGCCCCAGCTCTCCAGGTGGCCCCAGGGGCAGCCCCAGAAGCCAAGGCCCGGAAACAGGTCAAGACTGTCAGATTCCAGACGCCCGGGCGGTTTGCGTGGTTCCGAAAGCGCAGGAGAGCCTTCTGGCGCAGCCCCCGGCTGCCCACCCTGCCCAAGAGGGTCCCCCGGGCAGGCGAGGCCAGGAACCTCCGGGTGCTGAGGGCCGAGGCCAGCGTGGAGGAGGGAGAGCAGGAGGGCCAGCTGTGAGGGTGAGGGTGGGGCTGCGGAGAGGCCTGGCCACTGGGCTAATCTCTTCCACCTCTGAACTGGACTGGGATGGTCCCAAAAATCAGAGATGAAGAGAGGGTGTATCGATGCCACTCACATTCCCACCCAGGACCCTCTTGTTAAAATCTCATGCATTTATGTATTTTAAAAATATCCACTCCTTATCGCAACTTTTGAGATGTAATGAGGGAAAAAACAATCACTTTTGTGGGTTTACAGCACAGACAACTCCCTCCGCGCATCCTAGGTATTCAGGTATTCATTTTTCAGTTTTTTTAAAAGGGCAGGTGGTGCTGAAATTTATGTCTTTTCCCTTTCTGCTTCAAACTGGACATTTATCGCTGTTTCTTTGGACTTCAAAGGCAGCCTCAAACCGACCTGCAATTGAAAAATGTTAAAAGACCTGACTTGGCTTTGACCTTGTCAACCAAAGGATGTCTGTGGCTGTTGTGCCCCATCTTCGCTGCCCACTGGTAATGACTGTCCCCCACAGGAAGGAGCTCTGGTGGCATAGTTAGTGCCTTACGTGTTGTACTGCTAACCTGAAGGTCAGCATTTCGAATCCTCCAGCTGCTCTTTGGGGGAAAGATGCCATGATGAGTCACAGCCTCAGGACATGAGATGATGACAGGGCTGTCTTTACACTGTGCACTTCAACCTGCCCTTGGCTTTGACTTCATCAGCCAAAAATGCAGATTCCAGGCCCTTTGAGTTTGCGAGATGCAGCCCAGAAGTCTCTTCTTGATCCAGCCCTTTGTACTTCACCTAGGGCAGCTGGCGCGCTTGACATTGGCTGTGTGGATGAGCCATTGTCACAGGAACAGGCTGGCCAGGGAGAAGGGCGTGTGGGAGCACGCTGATGTCAATAACAGCTTCGAAGTGTTGTGCACTGGGGCTGAGACTTCTCATCAGCAATATTGGGGTATACTGAGGCCCCATGAGGCTGCGAGGAAGCTGAGGTGACACCTGTATTGCCTTAGCCTGCCCCACTTGGTGAAAAAACGGACAGCCAACAGCCCCAAAGGAAAACGGAAACTATGCCAGCTTGCTGATAGTGCCTTGCCTCGATTGAGGTCCCCCCCCCACCCCTTTGGAACATGTAGAATCGTATCCCCTATTTTTCTTTAGGAGCCCCTGGGTGTTAACAAAAGCTTAAGCTCTCAGGTTGGAAGCCACCCAGAGATGCTTTGGTGATGTTTCTGACCAGATCAGCCCCTGGGGAGCATGACTGCCACGCACAGGGTGGCATGGGTCGGAGGTGACTCAGCGGCGACCCTCCGGTTACCCTCCGGTTCTGTCTTCCCTGCTGTTTTCCAAAAGGAAGTGGTCACCAGTCTGTTGGGTTGCCGTCTGGTGCTCGGTGGCTGCAGCTGGCAGCCAGGAGGCAGAGCGGCCCTGGCTTTGGGAGAACAGGCAAGGCGTGGACCCGACTTGGAGGGGTGGGCTCGGTGGTGACGTGACGGGAAAGGACCAGGTCCTGCCAGGCCAGATCTTGAGGGGGCTCTGCAGCCAGCTGAGGTGATAGAGGGAGAAGGCTGGGGGCGCTGATCTCTGGGGTCCTAGAAGGTGAGCGAGCACAGCAGCAGACATCACGGGAGTAGGTGCTGGATGCTGTGCCTTTTTTAAATTTTTTATTCAATAAAGTCTGCTTGAAGCCAGCTGGGTCTGTTGTGTTTGCTCTTAGATAATTCACGAAGGTTTTGTGGAGGGGGACAGGAGCGTGGCCCTCAAACAGTGAGGGCAAGATGGATCTTTGTGCAGCTATGTGGGCATGAGCTGGCCCTGGTGAGCCCAAGACAGTGCCTTAGAGTGGCCTCATTGCAAAATATACGCAGTTAACCCTGGGACAGACAGAAATGCAGCCACACACAGACATGCCCCAACACGTGGCACACAGGTGTACACTCAAAAACCCAAAGGGATCGGCATCCACTCCAGCTACAGATACATGGACACGTCACATGAAGACGCAGGCACACTCAGATACACGAACATGTCACATGAGGACGCAGGCACACTCAGATACACAGACACGTCACATGAGCTCGCACGCACACTCCTCCCTCCCCAAGGCTGGCTCTAATCTCCACACTCAGCTGGCCCCCCACCTTCACAGCCTCGCACACTCATACACCTCCATGCTTACAAACGTCAACATTGATGCCCATTCAAGGGGAAGCCCTTACGACGAAATGATTAGACGTTCGCTTTGGGCTTGCTTTCAGGAGGGGCTGTTTCTTGGAAGGGAACAACATGTTTGGAAAGGTGAAGGGTCAGCAAAGGAGAGGAACAGAATGACTAGAACAATGGGCTCCAGTGTGTCAGAGATGATGAGGACGGCGCAGGATAGGATAAGGTTCAGGTCTGTTCACAAGGTCGCTGTGAGTCATAGTTGACGCGACAGCAAGAGAAGCTAACAGAAAGGTGGTTTGAACTCAGCAGCTGGTCTGTGAGAAAGATGGTGGCATCCTTGGAAGCCGTATGGGGCAGCTCTACGGCCTGCAGGGTCTCTAGAAAGGGAATCCACTCCGTGGCAGCAGGGACCCATTGACAGAACACCCCCCACACACACTTGTGTACTGTTAGATGCACAATCGTGATCACACAAAAATTCAAGCCGCACACAGACACACTTCCATGAACTCACTGCTTCTGTGGAACCCCAAGACTTTGACAAAAGTCAGTCTCAGGGAGCTCTGGTGGCCAAGTGGCAAGACGCTGCACTGCAATCCCAGAGGTACACGGTTCAAATCCACCAGATGCTCTGCTGGAGAAGGGGGCAATCTCTTCCTGTACCAGTCAGATCTGATTTAACGGTACATGTAAACATAATACAATAAAAATTAAAAAGAAAATTAAGTCTCAATTTGTCCCTCTTTGGGGTGGACATGGCCATAGGCTGCCCTCTTGCCCCTAGCAGCACACAGAGAACCCCCAGTGAGCGGCAGGAGCATTGGACTGTTGCACTAGGGTGGGGGGAGGGTGTCCTGAGAAAAGTAGAACCCCCACCTCACCTCCAAATTGTCTCGGAGTCAGCTAGAAGGTTTTAAAAACCACCACTTGCTCAGGCCCCATCTGCAGAGCTTCTGATCCCTTAGGTCTGGGGTGGGCTGAAGGATTTGTCTTTCTAGAAGGTTCTCTGATGCGGAGGTCAGTGGTCTCTGGTGGCGAGTTTTTTCTCAGCGATCCAGGAGCGCCACCTGGTGGGGACAGAGGGCGCCGCGGCTTGCGCGCTGACACCTCTCGGGTAAGGGGTTGAGCGGAGGTGAGGAGGGGCTTCTCCTGCCCTCTGAACCCCTCCTCTTTCCTCCCTGCTGTTGTACAACTTGGCCACAGTGTTGGGACACCCCTGTACCTGCTTGGTGGGCACTCTGAGAGGGGAGAGGAAAGGGTTGTAGGGTGGGGTAGGGGGTCTTCCCAGAGCCAAATAAAGACGTTCATACAGACTAGCTCACAGCTATTCACGCCCTACAGAGACACAAACACAAACCCAGGCCAGCAGGTGTGAAAACATGAACACACACTGCATGTCACTAAATAACCATTCTCTGCCGTACCTGCCTTTGGACCGGTCCCCCCTGGCCAGAACGGCCTATTGAGTATGTGGTGCAAATGCCAAACACGCTTGACTAATAATAACAGAAAGGTTGAATGTGTAAGTCCATTCAGGGACCTCTAGGAGGAAAGGCCTGGCAATGTACAGGGGAAAAAAATCAGCCACTAAAAACGCCTCTGGATTTAGGGTCTTTTAAGAATTACATCATAAGCCAACCCACTGCCATCATGTTCATTCTGGCTCCTAAGGGCCCTTCACTGGGTTTCCCAGCTGTAAGCCTTAATGCTTACATAATGATGCTTATACTTCAGAGAACAGGACAGTGACTAAAGATGACAGAAGGAGAATCAGTGCCTTTGAGTCATGGACTGAAAAGAAACAAAGAGGTCTGTCTTGGAGACGGTGAAACCAAGTCTCTCCTTGGAGGGTAAGATTTTTTTTTTATTCTATTAATTTTAATGAACATTTACAGAGATTTTGGATTTCCATTCATTCATTGTTGTACTCTTCTCTTTGCCCAGCCCTCCCGCTCCCCAGTTTGCATTTCTCTTTGAAAAGTAAAAGAAAAATTCTTCCATTGGTATACAATCCCCCAAACACCTCCCACCGCCCCAATTACACTCCACTATGCAACCTTAATTCTGGACTCTTGTGATAACCATAATACCATATTATATATAGCTTTTAAATTGTTCGCTCCCTCATCTGTTTCAATGCAGTATACATAATTTATCCAGTTTTTCTCAGTCTTACCCCAACCCTGATGTCAGTCCCATCCTTACAGGAGTGGCACCATGCAATATTTGTACTTTTGTGACCGAGATATTTCACTCAGCATAATGTCCTCGAGGTCACCCATTTTGAATAATATTGCATGAGTTCCTTGTTTTTCAATGCAGCATAGTATTCTATTATGTGAATATACCACAGCTTCTCTATCCATTCGTGTCTTGATAGGCACCTGGGTTGTTTCCAACTCCTTGCTACTTGCTATTGTGAACAAATTCGTGATAAACATGGTTGTACATGGAGGCTAGGATTTTAAAGCTCCATCTCACATACTTTGTCACATGGCCAGGAGAGACCAGTCCATGGAGAAGGCCATCATGCTTGGAAGAGTGGAGGGACAGCACAGGAGAGGAAGACCCTGGATGAGATGGATTGATACAGTAACTGGGGCAGTGGGGGTTGGTGTGTTGGAATTAGTGAGACTGGCTCAGGATAGTGCAGTGCTCAGAGCTGCTGTACATAGAATTGCTGTGGGTTGCAGGTGACTCGACGGTACATAACAACAACAAGTACAACAGTCTCACTTAGCAGTGGTTAAGTGTCATCAAGTTAAACACATAGCAATCCTATGAACAAAAGACCTGAACTCTGTTCTTTAATTAACATCCTGGGGGGGGGGTGTGTTGTGTAACAT